ATAAAACATTTAACATAGAAGCATGAGTCTGTATGTACGTATAACTATATAAACTAACTGTTTAATCTACCTAGAATAATGTGTCTCCCATCACATTTTATAAAACAGAAGCATGAGTCTGTATGTACGTATAACTATATAAACTAACAGTTTAATCTACCTAGAATAATGTCTCCCATCACATTTTATAAAACATTTAACACAGAAGCATGAGTCTGTATGTACGTATAACTATATAAGCTAACCGTTTAGTCTACCTAGAATAATGTCTCCCATCACATTTTATAAAACATTTAATTAAACATAGAAGCACAAATCTGTATGTACATAACTATATAAAAGTAAACTGATTTTCCATCATGATGCTATATTATATCACTAATAGTGTACCTACACATATGCTACTCAAATAGACACTGTGAATTTCCTTTTTCCAACATAAGTGTTACTACTACCATCGATAAATAAGGAAAACATGTGTTCTTTATCAAACGTTATTTTTTCTTTTCAGAATAAAATCATTACTAAATTACATGCAACTTTCACTAAATAATTTAATTTTTCTGCATTAATCAAATTTTAAATAAAATTATTAATCAAATATAAAAAAAGTCTATCAAGAAGTGGTTGTCTTACATACTGCATGTAAACCGTTTTAATACAAACTACAGAAAAACCTAGTGTTACATACTGCACGTAAACTGTTTTAATACAAACAACTACAGAAAACCTATTATGTGACATGTTACACCTCCATACGTAATTTTAATTTCACTGTATGTTGGCCCATGAAGTTTTTATTAACACAGAAATAAAATTAATTTTACAAAAATTAATGTAAAAAATAAACAGTTAAAATGAAGAAAAAAAAAAGTGATTTAACCATGAAAAAAACCTTGAACTATATGTAGACTGTATCCCACTCCTTAATATAGGTCACTTTGACACTGCTGGATCACCACAAGGTTTGTTGTTTGGCATGATTTCATTATGTCATCTTCATTCCTTTCGAAAGTGACAGTCAAACATGAGTAGGAATTTTAACTCAGGGTAACAAAAGCCACCAGGAGAACAACATAACTAAACAGCCCCCTATCTTCAGGAGAACCTTGTAACTAAACAGCTCCCTATCTTCAGGAGAACAATGTAACTAAACAAATCCCCTATCTTCAGGAGAACAACATAACCATCAGGAGAACCTTGTAACTAAATAGCCCTCCCATCTTCAGGGGAACCTTGTAACTAAACAGCCACCCCACCTTCAGGGGATCCTTGTAACTAAACCACTCTGTACCTCCAGAATTACTTGTTACTAAACTGATGTTTGCCTGAAAGATACAATTGTGCTGTTTTGAAAGAATATTTCTGAAGAGATTTTTCCATTGGAACACATACCTAACATTTTGTGTTGGATTCCAGCGCTCACAAGGTAATTCACCACTTTGGGGATCGTCTATGGGTGGATGAAGAATAGAAATACATAGATCGCCATTCTGTAAGAACATTTGCAATGAAAATGAATCAGTATTCTTTATACTGACCTTGCGAGTTCAACAAAATCAAGGTCATGATATTAAATATACCACAAAAATGTGACATTTGAAGAATGTTCCCTATTTATGGTTTATCAAGTTCGTAATTTTCACATATTTACCAAATTACCTTTATATAATAAATAATTTTCTTTCAAATTATACAAAAGGTTTATTTCTGCTTGGTTAATCTAATTTTTTCATAATTATAAAATCCTCTGTTGTCAACATTTTTCAATCAAATATTTCTCAAAATTAATTGTTGTCTGTTATCTGACATGCAAAACTAAATGTAGAAAACACAACATTAATTAAGAAAAATGTCTGATTCAGTTACTTAAGAAATATTAACAAATCTATTTTATTTTTTACACATTGTTCTTTAGAACTTCTGCCTGGTTCTACACAAGAGTATTTGTTCAAGAACAGGAAGACTATGTATAATGGCCGTTCTAAGAGTTCTCTGACACAACAAATTAGATACACGCTACCACTAAACTCTTGTACTCACTTCATAAACATTAGGATGCCAGACTTTTGTAAGAAAACGGATTGTTGGAGGTGAGTATGGATAATCTGGAGGGAATTTCATATGAGCCTGAAAAAAACAAATCCAACGAGTCATTCTGCCACATTTCAACAATTTATATTCACATTTTTACCACTCTAATAATATGTTAAATTACATACAAAAGTTAGGTATAAAAGAGAGACATTTCTTTCAAACAAAGAAAAATTCTGTTCATTTATGTATAGACCATAACTGAGGAGAAATCATAATGTCAATGTTTCAATTACTTGGAAAGTTATAATAATAAAGAACATTAACAATCAGAAACATTAATTTCAGTTAGTTACTTTCATGATGTTAATAAATTTAGCCATAATTTTGATTAATCGATTATTTTAAAGTCAGAGGTAATAGATTATATTGAGTTAATCGCTCAGCTCTAGGTACCACACAATCGGGAAGTCATCACGACAATTGGCATTATATAAAATAGCCACGTCTCAGTAAAGTGACATTTTCACACACACAGGACTTTCATAAAACAAGCTAACTCTCAGAAAACTTCAGCTTCTCTCAATGAGTTGTTCATTTTTTTAAACTTTGTTTTAATCACAAAGAAACATAATGAGCTGTCTGTGCTTTGCTCACTATGGGCATTGAAACCCAATTTTTAACATTATAAGCCTTAGACTTACTGCTGAGCCATGAGTGGGGGGGGGGGGGTCCTCATGGAGATGAAATGAAATCCTGTACTACCTGAAAGGATCTCTCACTTTTTTTCCGAGTTTTGAGAAATACTTAAGCTCCCTTGTAAAATATATTTAAAATTGAAGACACAATCAAGTCTTAGTACCATGATTTTCATGCACACGCAATATATCAAAGAACACCTTATCTATCATAACTGTTCTCAACACTTCATGTTGTAACTGTCCATCAACACTTAGTGATATACCAACACCTTATCTATCCTAACTGTTCTCAACACTTCATGTTGTAACTGTCCATCAACACTTAGTGATATACAACACCTTATCTATCATAACTGTTCTCAACACTTCATGTTGTAACTGTCCATCAACACTTAGTGATATACCAACACCTTATCTATCATAACTTTTCTCAACACTTCATGTTGTAACTGTCCATCAACACTTAGTGATATACCAACACCTTATCTATCATAACTTTTCTCAACACTTCATGTTGTAACTGTCCATCAACACTTAGTGATAT